AACGTAAGTTGCTTGAGGGTAAGGACTATGTGCCTTGGGCATGGTCAGCATTTGGAATTTGTGATAACTTCCATGTACGGCACCTATGTGGCACAGTAAATGGAGTTATCTCTTCCTGAGTTCAAATCCCATCTCAGACACTTCCTAGCTGTGTGACCCTGGGCAAGTCACTTAACCTTATTTGCCTCAATTTCCTCATCTGTAAAATGAGCTTCAAAGCACTGCAGAGTCTCTGCCAAGAAAACCCCAAAATGGGGTGACAAAGAGCGGACACGACCAAAACAACAGCCGTGTATCTGTGAATCTGGTTTGCGTGTTTCTGTTTGCAGGTCATGTCCCGTGTTGGACTATGACCTCTTTGATGGCAAAGACCGTGTGGTTTGCCTTTCTGTGTAACCCTGGCTACTTAGCACGGTGCCTGACTCCCTGTGCCAAAGAAGAGTCTGTGATATCTCCTTTTAGTTACTCAAGGCTATATGTAACATTGTATCTGTAGCATAGTATGTATATAGTATCATATACTGTATACAGTATCCTGTGCTATGGTATAGTACTTACAATGCTTTAAGGTTTGCAAATTCCCTTATACATTTTGTCCTTTCATCAACCCTGGGAGGTAGGGACTATTATTCTCATTTTTATAGATGAGGAAACTGAGGCTGACAGAGAGAGATTGGGTGATTTGCCCAGGGTCGTGTAGCTAGAAAGTATTCGAGGCAGAATTTGAACTTGGATCTTCCTGATTTTAGCACAGTGTGTGGCACATGTAGTAGGCACAGCTGGGGTAGGAAGGTAGGCCTGTGATTTCATTGATATAGGGAAATTCCAATGTAGATCATTACCAGTTCTTCTGCTTGGAGACTTTCCCACATGCCTGGGCCATGGAAAGATCAAGTTCACAGGCTACTAGAGGAGGCTCAGAGGTCACATAGGTGCACAGGAGTAGAAACAGGATTTGGACCTGGGACCTCATGTCCTGAATGAGGCCTTTGCCCAGTGAGTCATTTAAGGCCTGGGCCTGGGCCACATGATGGGTCAGAAGCAGCCCTGTTCTAGAGTCTTTCTGGACCCCAGGGCTGGATCTCTATCTATAGTGACATACTGCCTCCGGTTTGGCACTCACTAGGTGCTTGCTTAATCCAAGCTTGTTAACTGATTGATTCCTGGGCTCAAAGACAATAAAATACAGCTCCTGCCCTCTAAGGCATTATTACAGGATCATAGCCGAGCTCATTTTTAATGGCTGATCTCCTCTCTTTGCTGGGTTCTTTACTATCTCCCAGTCCAGTCTTCCATCATTCTGTGTTTTCATAAAATACATTTTTTGCATATCTTGTTCTTACTATTGGATGTTTGGATTTTTTTTTTAAATCTTTTCTTGTCTCTCTCTGAGGAAGTGGTGGTGACGGTGGAGGATTAGATATGCAAACAATAATTTAGCCTCATAGACCTGAGGTTTCAAATTTAATCTCCGCCATAAACTCTCCAGGCCTCAGTTCCTTTGTCTGCCAAATAAGATGGGGTTTGGAAGGCGTGTTGTATCTGGAATTAGAGGCCTGAGGTTCAAATGTAGGCTTACTATTTATTTCTTAGGTGACCCTGGGTTCACCTCCCCGGGCCTCAGTTTCCTTACTTGCAAAGATGTCCAGTTTGGCCTCCAAGGATCTACTCGTCCTGGGGCTCCAGAGCCAGCCGTCTGGCCACTGTCTTCTGTGAAGGGCAGAGCGCAGGGACCAAAGCCTTGGGAACATGATACCCACATGTCAAGGGCCAGATGGAGCTCTTGGAAGAGAAAGGAGATTTATCTTACTCTTAGACCAAAGGGAAGGATGCAAAGCCAGAGAGACTATTTTGAGGTAGGGAGGAGGGTAGATAAGGGAGATATCCCAGGATGGACTGGGTCGTCTTGATGTTTTCCCTGTCAGGCTCTTAGCAGATGACTTCACCCCAACTTTGAGGCATACAGGCCCCAGGCCAAGAGAATAATAATGAGGATGCCTGGAATTTTTAACACAGCAGACAGAAGGCCTGATTTAGTCTCATAACATTCCTATGAAGTAAGAGAAAAGGCAGGGGATTCTTCTCTCCATCTTTCATTTGGGGAAAGTGAGGCTCAAGACTGGGCACGTGACATCTCTTTTTAGAAGGTGATATTTAGACAATGCCAGGAATAGATTTTTTTTGTCTCCTTACCCCGGGTCACAGCTTGGTTCACTTAAATGTTTTTTGTCTGTGGTTTACTTTAGTGATAGGTGTAATCTGTCATATTTTGTATTAGGGTAGATGAGCCATAACGAGGGTGGGGCACTGGGACTTTGTCCCGGGTTGCCAACATTTGGTGGTGTATTTCTTTCTCAGGGGAAAAGCTTCCACCACGTCACAGTTCAGCTCCTCCATGGCTCCTGCCCGCCTCCCTCCTCCCTTGCCTAGCTCTACTTCCGGGGTCCCCTCACCGTGGGACCTCTCCCTATGATCCCCACAAGGTCATGAGCTCCTGGGGAATGGGGTGCCTCCCCCTCAACAACTGTTTTGCCCTGGGGGGAAAGAATTCCTAGTTTGGGCTCTGATGATAGAGCTGATCTCAGAACAGGTGTCTCGGATGAGATGCTGGTCTCAAAAATGATGTCTTGACCTGCTCTTAAACTTCTCATGTGGTATAATAATACGAGCTCATATTTCTAGAGCGCTTTACTCATTTTGTATATGTTTGTTTACACATCTCCTTTATTAGATTGTAAGCTCCTTGAAGGCAGGTACTGTCTTTTATTTCCTTTTAAGCCCAGCATTTAGCACAGTACCTGATACATAGTGGCATTAGCAAGGTAACTCAGTAGATAAAGTAAGGAAGATTCATCTTTGGGAGTTCAAATCTGGCCTCACACTTACTAGCTGTGTGACCCTGGGCAAGTCACTTCACCCTGTCTCGTTAACCTCAGGTTCCTCATCTGTAAAATGAGCTGGAGAAGAAGATGGCAAACCACTCTAGCACCTTTGCCGAGAAAGTCCCAAAGGGGTCATGAACAGTAGGACATGACTGAAAAGACTCAACAACAATTGGTATACAGTAGGTGCTTAATGAATGTTGATTGATGGACTGATCCTCATAACAACCCTAGAAGAAAGATGGAAGTTGTTGTTATCGTTCAGTAATTTCAGCTGTATCCAACTCTTCGTGACTCCATCTGGGATTTTCTTGGCAAAGATACTGGAGTGGTTTGCCATTTCCTTCTCCAGCTTATTTTTCACATGAGGAAACTGAGGCAAAACATGCTTAAGTGACTTGCTCAGGGTCACACAGCTAATACAAGTCTGAGGCTAGATTTGAATTCAGGACTTCCAGTTATTGTTATTTATTCTTGTACAGGACTAATGACCATACAGGCCTGATGTCTTGTCTTGAGTGTGAATTGGATTTAAGTGAGGCAGAGCTGTGCAAAGTCATCAGCCTCACTGTCTCTCTCCTCCGGAGAAGTTCGGTGGTAAGACAAAAGTCAGGAGGATTGGGGGTGGCCCAGGTTGCAGTAGTTGACATTGGCCTTCCTGAATTAAGGTCTTTCCCAGGTCTCAGTTTATCTATGCCCATTCAATGACCAAGGGCTAGATAAGAATTGGGACAACAGATGGCCTAGGGTCCTCCTGACTCCAGGCCCCAGGCTCTGTGGTGCTAACGGACACAGGATTTCAGTCTAGAATTTCAGGTCTACAGAGATCAGTGTTTGAATCCTGCTGCTGGCAGTTCCCAGCACTGTGATTCCAGGACAAATTCCAGCACCTTCCCTGGGTTAATTATCTCCTATTTGTTCTTGAGCTTGCTTTGTATAGATTTCTTTGCATGTTGTCTCCCCCATGAGATTGTAAGCTCCTTGAGGGCTGGGGTTGTCTTTTGCCCGTCTTTGTATCCCCAGCCCTTAGCACACTGCCTGACATAGCAGGTGCTTAATAATTGTTAATTGAATTAACCTCTTTGAGCCTCAGTTTCCTCATCTGGGAAGTGCAGATAATGACACCTCCCTTTAAGGATTGTCTGAGGCTTAAATGCCCACTTTATAAACCTCAAATCCTATGCTTAGAGAGATTTCAGTCCCATCAAACCTAATAAGCATTTATTAAGCTCCCACTGTGTGCTTGGCATCGTGCTGAGGATAGAGAGGCCCACAGGAAAAACAGCCCCAGTGCTGAAGGGGTTTATATTTGACTGGATCGGGGATACTTAAGGATGAGGAGGGGAAGGTATCTGGAGAAACATCCCCAGGCTTAAAGAAATCTTAACACAAGTCCGCTAAAGAGGCCTCAAAAAAGGAAAGCTTGGAATCTGGATTCCCACAGTATCTTCTACCTCTCTGCCCCATACTTCTCACCTCTTCCTGGCACAGTTAGCTTTCAGAATTGGTGAAGGGGCACTGGTTGCAGTCACATCTGGAAATATGGGGAAATTGGACTCCTAACAAAGAGAAACTATGAAGGCTAAACCCCCGAGAAGGTGCCGATCTCAGACAACTAATTCAGCATCCTGCCTCAATAATCAATGCCCTGCTCCTCTCTGCCAGGAGGAGGGAAGTGGGTTCCCAGAGCTATTCTCTGGGACCATTATTGGTTTCTCAGTTACTCTGAGTAACTTTCTTTTCATTTACCTTGTTGGAGGCCTCTTGCCTGTTGTTTTTGGAGTTCTGTTTATTTTACTCTGCATCAAATTCATGTCTCAGGAAGGAGATTATAGACAGCCATGGCGTCAGGCTCTTCCTACCCCAGTTCTTGACCTCATTGTAGGGTTGGGGATAAGGGAAGCCAGACAAAAGGGTATGGGGCTGAAGCCAAGGAAATCCACTGACTCTCTGAGTTTCCAGATAATTTCAGTGGACATATAATTTCTCCAAGATTGTGGGGCAAGTGGGGTGCCCTGATTCTTTTCTCCCTTTTTCCACTACAAGAGCCTCCTCACCCTCTTTTCTCCTCCTCTTTTTCCATTTTCTGGGTTTTTAACCATTAATTTTCCCTGTTAGGTCTCCAGAGAGAACATCGCCTTCCAGCCCCTGGCAAAAGAAAAGAGGATGCCTTCCAGTTGGAGAGGAGAGATGGGAATGGGCCCAAATCTAGCGGGCACCAGCGAGAAGAGGCCAGCTGCTGACCCAGAGCAGCTCGACCTTTTGTGGGCATTTGGAGGAGAAACATTGACTCAATATGACCGGCCATCCTTTGTGGACTTGGTTTCCCCCTTCTGCTAATCACCAGTCTCTTGCACGAGGTGAGTGTAAGTGTCTAAGCCAGGGTGATAGAAGGTTGGCTGTCAGAGTTCCCTTATTAACCAAGACCATCTCATGGTGGGGGTGGGCATGAAACTTTCAGGTCTGGTTTTCAGAAGTACTCAAAAGACCCAAGCCCTTGGATCCCAGGACTTTGAATTTATTTAGAAACAAAGGCTAGGCTAAGAGGCTAAGGATTCCCTTTTTTTTTTTTTAATAGAGTCAGAAACAAATGATTCAAGTAATATTATTTGAATGTTTTAAATCTATCATTCATTCAATTAACATTTTTAATCATGAAGTCATGCATTTAGAGCTAGGAAGGACCTTTAGGCTGCCTGGTTGAACCATGTTGTTTTACAGAGCAGGAAATAGAGGCCCTGAGGGGTCACAGGATCATAGATCAGTACCTCAAAGGGACTTCTGAGACCACCCAGTTCAATACCTGTATTTTATGGATAGGGAAACTGAGGCCCAGGGAGGTCCTCAATTCAAACAGATCCAGTCAAAGGGCCACACTTGAGGCCCTAGAGGGCCACATGTGCCCTCAAGGCTAAAGGTTCCCCAACCCTGCCTAAACCATACAGCCTCCTCCACCCTTTAAAATCTCATATGACATGCTCATTAGAAATGCTTTTTAACTACTCAACCCTATGGGCTTCTCCTGGGTTTGTTAGCAAAATATTATTGTTAGGCTGCATGTGGTTTGTCCTTCATTCTTGAAGAGGACCATGACACCAGAGAGATAATGACGTGACTTGCATTTGAATTGGATTTAAGCGAGGGAGGATTTGCAAATTCGCCAGCCTCGCTGTCTCCTCCAGAGCCATCTGAGACCAATGATCAGATATAGATCAGGATGACTGGAGATGACTCAGGATGCAGTGGGAGACCTTGGCCTTTTTAAGCTAAGGTCTTTTCAAGTTCTCACTTTGGGTGAGGCAACACCCATTCAGTGAATAGGCCTCTTTAAGAAGTGAGTCAAAGGAGCTAGGTGGCAGATTGTATGGAGCGCTGGCTCTAGAATCAGGAAGACTTCAGTTCAAATCCAGCCCAAGACATGTAGTGGCTGTGTGACCCTGGGCAAGTCATCTAACCTCTTTTGTGCCTCAGTTTTTAGCCAGTACAGGCCCAAGTTCCTTCTTCCTGCATTGGAAATAAGCTGGTGTAGCTTCAGCCAGTTCTAGGTCTTTGCTCTGGAAAGCTTGGCTTTGGGTTTAATTGATAACTTGGGTGAGAACTTAATGACTGACTTGGAAAGCATTTGACACAGGTCTGTCCATGCCCTTACACAACTTTCCTGGGATTATGATCCCCATTTCTGGCAGGATTAATAGGAAAAGGAGCATTGATCTTATCACAGCTTACCTGAATGGCAGCAGCCTCCCAAAGGGTTCCCAGCTTGCAACTGCTCCCTTTCTCCAATCCTTCCCCCTCCCCCAAAACTACCAATATGATCTTACCAGCACTTAGCTCAGACCATGTTGCCTATCTTGTACCAAATATGTATAATCGTGCAAAACAAAACCCAGACATTGGCATCCTCCCAACAGCCCCCAGAGGTGGGTGCTGTTATTATCCCCATTTTACAGTTAAGGAAACTGAGGCAGACAGAAGTAAAGTGATTTTCCCAGAGTCACACAGTTAGTGAGTGTCTGAGGTGGGATTACACTCTGATCCACTGTGTGACCTAGATGCCTCTGAGAATCATGGGGCCAGTTGGTAAAGCCACCGATGAGATCGTTGAGGAGGGGAGAATGGAGAAAGGAGAAAGGTGAAAGACCCAAGAGAAGGGTCTTGGAGTTGCCCCTTCCTCTGCCCCCCACCCCACCAATGAGGAGGAGGAGGAGGAGCTACAAAGAGAAGCAATGGTTGGAGAAGTGAGCCAGGATCCAGAAAACTGTATTGTCGGGGAAGCCGAGGAGGGAGAATTTAGGTACTGACAAAACAGACCTGGAGATGGGACTGGAAGGAGATGATAGGGTATGGAGGATCCTTGCAACCAGGTCACTGAGAACGTTAGAGAATGCAATTTCAGCAGAGTGGCGAGGGCTGAGACCAGATTGCATGGGGCTAAGAAAGGTATGGGTGGCTGGGAAGGGAAGGTAGCAGGTGTAGACTTCACGGTCAACGCGTTAGGCCATGAAAGAAGAGAGTTTGGAAACAACCAAAAGAAGTTGATGAGAGCAGGGTGGGATACTAGACAAAGCTCTGGACTTGGGAGATGGGAAGCTCCAGGTTCAAATCTCAATTCTGACACTTAAAGATTGTCCAGAACCATAGACAAGTGACCTCACCTTTCTCAGCCTCAGTTTCCTCATCTGTACAATGGGGATAATACTAACTATAATGCCTACCTCCAGAAAATGAGGCTTAAAGGAGATAGTTGTATGAAAAGTGACTTAAAATCCATAAAGCACGGTATCAGTCAGTTAATAAGCATTTATTAAATGACTGTTATATGCCAGGCACAATGCTCAGGATACAATTCAGGAAATGGTCCCTGCTCTTCCAGAAGTTTGTATTCTGGGGTGGGTGTGGGTGTGGTAGTGCAGGCATACACATGCATGCACATACTCACACACACACACACACACACGTGCATGTGTGCACACATACAAGGTGTGTGGGAGGAAGTAATAGCTGGGGGATCAGAAAAGGCCTCACGGAAGAGGTGAGCTTTGATGGAAACTGGGGATTTTCAAAGAAGGTGAGATGGAAGATGGCCTGTGTGAAGAGCAGTCAGAAGCCCTGTTTGGCAGAATGGTAGAGCCTAAAATGCAGAATGCAGCTGGAAAGGCTGTGAAGAACTTTATGTGCCAAATGGGGAAATTGATCTTGATCGTAGAGGTAATAGGGAGGCATGGAGTTTATGGAGCAGGGGAGGACACTGTTGGAGTGTCACCTTGGCCACTGTGTGAAGGATGGATTGGAGTGTGTAATGTGCTCTGGATATTAATAGAGGATTTAAGAAGGCATGGGGAGGAGTATTTCTATAGTACCTTTGTTGTTGATGTTCAGTCGTTTCAGTCGTGACCAACTCTTTGTGACCCCATTTGGGGTTTTCTTGGCCAAGATGTTGGGTGGTTTGCCATTTCCTTCTCCAGTTCATTTTACAGATGGGGAAACTGAGGCAAACAGAGTGAAGTGACTTGCCCAGGGTCTCCCAGCTAGTAAGTGTTCGAGGCTGGATTTGAACTCGGAAAGATGAGTCTTCCTGACTCCAGGCACAGCACTTTATGCACTATAGCACCCCCTAGCCTCCTCTGTAGTGCCTACTGTGTACCAGGTGCTTTACAAATATTATATCATTTTATTTTCGTAACAACCCTGAAGGGAAGGTCGTGTTATTTTTCCCATTTTACAGTTGAGGAAACTGAGACAAACAGAAGGCTAAGTGACTTGCCCAGGGACATACAATTACTAAATATCCAAAGCCAGGTTTCTTTTTTAACATTTCCCTAATGCTTACTGTCTACCAGGCACTTTACAATTATTATCTCATTTGATTCTCACAATAACCCACCCTACAAGAGAGGTACTATTATCATCCTCATTTTATAGTTGGGGAAACTGAGGCAAGCAGAGGTTTGTCTATTTTTTGTTTTTGTTTTTGTTTTCGTTTTTTTTTTAAAGTGAGTTGCCCAAGATCACATAGCTAGTAGGTGTCTGAGGCTGATTTTGAACTCAGGTCTTCCTGACTCCAGGCCCAGCACTCTATCCCCTGAGTCACCTTGCTGGCCTTGGAAGTGAGTTGGGTTTGGGAGGAAAGATAATGAGCCCTATTTCCTAAGTGCTGAGTTTGAGTTACCTCCGGGACATTCAGTTAATTTGAATCCAATAAGGATACATATGTCTTTTTCTTATTAGGTCACCATTTTCAGGGAATAGTCATACTGCAGTGACTCTCAAATCCCTTTCTTGGGTCCTAAGTATTTTTGGGTTGTTTATCCCTAAATATATTAGTTCAAAGTTTCCTTTAGGTCCATTGGCCTCTTTCTCTGCTCGTTCTCAGAGCCTCTTGCAGGGGGAAGAGGTTAGACTTGGAGGCATCTGGGATCTGGGTTTAAACCCTGGGGAGCAGGCTGGCCTGGGGGGTCTCCCACTCGGAATCGATGGTCCCGCAGATTCTGGGATTTATCCCGGTCGTCTGAGCCATCGTGCTGGGCTGCCTCTGTTTCCTAAAGCAGGGATGACCTGGATTGGCATTTTTGGTGAGGATAGCAGTGTAGCCACGCCTGGCTGCTTTTACCTTCCAGCTCCCCGTGGGCCTATTTTAGGCTTCATGTGGGTTCTGTGGGGCTCCATTGGAGGAAGCTCCAAGGCCTGGAGGCAGTCTGCAATCCTGAAGATGTCTGGGCTTTCTAGCCTCATCCACTCCCACCTCGATCAGGATGTTAGCATTAGCATTGGCCTGATGGACAGATGGTTCTTTGGGATGCTGTACCTGCCCTGACCAGTCCAGTTTGGGCGCTTTCAGGGCTGTGCCTCGAGGCTGATATTGATGAGTGCTGTCATCTGCTAGGGGACATCAGCTGCAAAGCCAGGGTGACTCAGCCTACGGTGTGGGTGGGAGCCATGCAGGGCTGTGGTAGTGAAGCTAAGGAGATTCTCTCTGCTTCCTGGCCAGTGCAATCTGTCTCTGTCTCTCTGTGTTTGTCTATGTCTATGTCTCTGTCTCTCTCTTTCTCTTTCTGTCCCTGTCTCTTTCTCCCTCTCCATCCTTCTCTCTCTTTCTCTCCCTCCTTCCCTCCCCCCTTCTCCCTCTTTCCCTCCCTCCCACTTTCCTTGTCTCCCTCCCTCTTTCCCTACCTCTCACTCCCTCCCTCTTTCCCATCTTCTCCCTCTCTCCTTCTCTCTTTTCCTACCTCTCACTCCCTCCCTCTCTCCCTCCATCTTTCTCTCCCTCTCTTCCTCCCTCTTTCCTTCCCTGCCTCCCTCTTTCTCTGTCCCTCCCTCTTTGCCCTCCCTCTCTCCTCTCTCTCCTTGTTAGGGCCTTGTA